GGAGTAATACATAAATAATATTTTCCGGAGATTGAAACTACATTTATAAAAAATCTGATAAGTTATCAAATCGATAACAAAAATATTTTTTCTCGACTTCAGAAATTTGCTGGTATTATTCTCTTAATGTTCCTAACTAAAAAAACAGGCAAGTGAGATAGGAGCTTGGGATTATGCACATCCAAAATAAGTTACTATCACGATGCTGGAAGTATGTTAAGTTACACAAAAATTTAACGATGCAAGGTTACAGAGCGCTAATTTACAGGTAAAATATAAATTCAATTTACAGAGCACTAATTTTTTTTTTTTTCCTTAAAAAATTATAATTAAATTTTGTGATAAATTATTGGCAGTGGTGATCATGATATGTGTGTGCCTCACACTGGAACGAAGCATGGACAAGGTCTCTTGGATATAAAACTGTGGAAGCATGGAGGTCGTGGACTCCATCAGATGATCAAATGCTGGATATTTACAAGCTAGACCATAATCTTACCTTTCTCACCGTCAAGGTTCGTTATTAATTAACTTTAAAACAATCTTTTTGGTCGATATAAAATCTAAATACTTTTTTTTTTTTTTTTTGACTTTTGAAAACAAAGGATATAAGGAGTCTTATAAAAACGTGGTTAGTAGAAATGAGTCGAAATGTTTTTAAAATAGTTTTAAGATATAATCCTTAAAAATAATGTAAAAAATAAAAAAACAATTAAAAGTCGTAGTTTTTTTGTTTTTTATTTATAGTTTTAATCTAAAACAAATTTTTACAAATTTTGAAAATTATTTTAAACACATTCTCAAATATTAAAAATATTAAGTTACAACTCAAAAAGTTGAATCATATTTTAGTTTATAAAAATTGTTTTCATATCTTAAATCAAACAAAATATCATTATGTTTAATTAGTTTTGAATAGCTAGGGAAAATTCATATGCAAATATAAATTAATTACTTAGAACGTTTCTAAAACATTTTTTGGAAACAATCTTAAAAATTAGTATAAAATTAGACTTTTTTTTTTTTCAATATCGTACTTTTTTACTTAAAATTCTGAACTATTTAATGACCCTTGTTTAATGATTCAATCAACTCTTTCAATTTTTTTTTTTTTTTTTCTAAATTTAAACTTTCAAAGGAAAATTAATAGTTTTAGCTTGTGAATTAGTATGGAAATATAATTATAGTTTTGATTTTGCAGGGGGCAGGGCACACAGTTCTGAATACAAGCCGAAAGAGTCATGACGTTTCACTCTAAGTGGCTTGCTGGAGAAACAAATTGAAATAAGCAAAATCTTTCAACTTAATAAATGTTCAATTCCCATTTTGGCAATAATAATTTATGGAAATCTTTTAAGAAATATTATTTTGCTTCACTCATTTTTATCATCGCAAATCAAATGAAATACATGTAGCAATGAAGTTGAACAAAGTAAAATAATTTAATTGAAATAAAAGTACAATCAAAATAAATAACAATTAATTGTTAATTCTATTCATAAGCTTGAGGAGATATGAAAAAATATATATTTTTTTTTAAATTAACTTCCGATAAAAAATAAAATCCCTTTCATTTTTTTTTTTTTTTCTAATTTCAATGAACCAGTATTGACTAGCTCAATTTTGGTTGGTGAAATGAGCTTACTTTTATTTTCGAATATCCACGAACCAACTAACAATCTAAATTTTTTTTGAATTTACTAAGAATATATATATGAAATGATATCAACCATGTGGAATTTTTTTTTTTTTTTACCTCGGGTGGAAGTTCAATAGGGACTCTTGGGTGTATTGCTCAAAGAGTCATGAGTAAGTTCCTCTTTGGTTGCTAATAAAGATAACTACTGAGCTCTTATCAGTTAATAGTTTTAAGGTTCGGAAGATTAGTTAGGTACGTATAAGCTGTTGTGAACACCCTATCATATATTAAAAAAAAAAAAAAAAAAAAAACATTGTAGGTTCTGTGTATCAGTAGACTCAGTACCATATGATTGTTGGTTAGACAATATCAATTATAATAAATGTGATACTAAACAATAGAGGAGATCAAATTTTGTATAGTAGTGCCATATTAATTGTTGGACAAATAATACAAGTCTATCATAATGTAATTGACATATAAATGGATCAAATTTTCATATATTAATACTAGAGGTGTTCGGTTATGGGTACTCTATATTTTTTGAAGGAATAGAACTGACGGTTCCTGAAATGGTAACCAAAATCGAACCAAAGGTTTCGGTTCCTAGGTACCTAGAACCATAACCCGTAACAACGATTCTAGTTTGGTTCTAGGTACCCTATAAAATTACATGAACCCTAAAAGTTTTTAAATAACAAAAAACCCATAAAAAATTACAATACCCCCCCAATCTGGCACTTGTTACAAAAAAAAAATACAAATATAATCAAAATTACAAACTTCATTACTTTGTAAATGTAGATCTCACAAAGTCAAACCAACTTACTTTAAATGTACCCGTTGAAGGTTGGAACCAGAATCTACCCATTGAAGGTTGGTTCTGGGTAGGAATGGAACCGAACCTCGGTACTCGCCGGTTTCGGGTTCAGTCGGTTCTTTTGAACACCCCTAATAATACCATATTAATTGTTGGACAAACAATACTAATTCTAAAATTAACGTGATACTAATATAAAATGGGTCAATTTTTATACATATAACATTTGCTTACTAAATTGGAAGCAACTTTTTTTTTTTTTTTTTTTTTTGTTTTGAACACAATCCGAATACATCTGTCTACAATATTGAGGAATCATCTTTTTACTGTTTTTTAATTGAATTAACTTTAGCATTGCATTACAAAACAGTTTACAGAGATTTTCATGAAAATTTCGTATCAGATAAGCCCTTGATAGCTGATCCTACATCAATTATCTAAATGTAGAGGGCAATAAGGAAATACACGTATCTAGAGGAATCTGCGGTTCAGCTTTTTCAAAGCTAAAAAGCAGTCAATATTAACGTTTAATGAAGAAAATGACGTAGAGAAGGGCTAATGACAAAATTTCTCTTGACTTTTAATGGCTAATATTGAAGTAATTACAGGCAAACCTCACTCATATCAACCAAGCCTCACACGTCAAGTTATCAATCTAATTTGGATTTTAATTGGCTATGTCCGTTGACATAAGTCAAAGTCTTCTTTATTTGTCGTTCTCAATAACCAGCTCGTGATATGAAATTATGGTATGTAAAAAAAGACTCCCTTGGTTAACTTTTTAGAATAGTATCCTATTCTAAATATTAGGATATGATTTAATTAAATAGAAAGATTTTAAAAATGTGTTTCATATAATATTTTTAAAATTTAGATTATATTTTAACCCTCATATTTGTTATTTAATAAATACTCCCATAATAAAGTTTATAATTAACAAAAAAACTCTCCACCATCCAATAAAAGTTATAAAACATTTAACAAAACGTTGATGGCCAGATCGGTCGTTGAAGACTGTTATATCTTGGCCGTTCAACGGCTAGATCGTGGTGTAGATCTAGTGTTTGACAGATCCAATCGATCGTGTATTTACGGCGACTTTTGGCCGTCGTCTGATGGTGGTGTGCCAGATTGGCATCAAGTATTTGGCCGTCAATTAGTTGGATGAGATAAGTGTTTGGTTAATTTATAACATTTATTGGAAAAGGTAATTGTTAAATGTTTTGAGTTGAATATAATAGATTGAATTTTGATTTGAATAGTCAATTTAAAAACACATATATATTTCATTAGATTGGATAGGATAGGATGGAGTTTGAAAAGTGTACCAAGCAAGGAGGTTAGATTCTTTTTATCCTAGTTTCCTTAACAAAAAAGTTGGTGGGTAACAATGGTGTACCTTTACTCATGATTTACCTAAAATGTGTAATGGGGGGTTGGTAGTAGGATAGCTTCCTTTGAAGATTAGTCGAAATTGTGTAAGTTTCTCGAATACTTAGTTACTAAAAAAAATAAATAAAAAATGGGGGGTTTGTTAAAAGAAAAATCAGACATAAATTTTAACCTCAAATATTTATAATATACATTAAATCGTAAAAGCTCATGAGAGCTCCTATCATCAGATGATCCTAATCAAAAAACAATTTAATGGTATATAGTAAAAGTGAGATCCCAAATTTGTATCCCAATGCAGTGACAATATTTGTCAATATAATCATTTACTAAATGGTTAGTACTATGAAAACATTAAATCAATCGAATTTTGTAAAGTAAAAATTGTAAAAGTTGGTTTTTAGTGTATTACATCATTTAATGCAAATTTAAATTTACAAAACAAAAAATGGATATTCGCATTTGAGAATTTTCGATTGCAAATTAGTCATATACAGTTTGTAATAATTGATTTTTTACAATTTAAAACAATCAACTATTTATTAAAGACAAAATGTAATATGAAGTTGGACTTTAAAAATTGGCCATGCCCATCCGTGTCAAAATTTAATTTTATGTGTTATAACATGATAGTGTTATCTTATCATGTAACAATCAAATAGACCGATATTTTAAAATGGAGAGTTTATTTTAAATAGGTCCTAATAAAAATGGTGTTCTAAGCTTTTTTTTTTTTTTTAACCTTATAAGGTAATCTGTAAAATCTATGAGACTGATAATTCATCTCCCTCTCCTATAAATAACTAGAGCAATCAATTATAATCTCACTCACAAAATAGGGCCAAAAGGGAGTTCAAGATCTGCTTCTTCTGAATCAAGGTATGCAGAATTTCAATTTATATGTTAAAATATGAAAATCAATAAAAAAAATTATAATAATTTAATTAACCAATAATAGAATGATCATAAAGTATTCTATAATTATCACAAGATATATCAAAAAATAAAATTAAATGGAGGTGGGGTTGTATCCATCCCATACAACAGTTGGAAAATTCTATTTTCAAAGAAAATGAAATAGTGCCCAGTCCCACCTCTGCTTCTTGAAATTCTCCGCCTCAGCTCATCATTTTCTGCTTATTTCAATAATTCAGTGCCTAGAATTTTAACCATTTCCAATAAAGCTCCCTTTTGTCTTTAGAAATACAATCATTGATGCACCAGTCAAGTTTAATCAACACAGCAAAATTTTATGTGGAGGTATCAAAATTTTATCAAGTCAAGATCCTCCTTATTTATTTATTTATTTCTAACTTTTTATCCAATCTTTTGGGCTTAATTTATATATAATAATCTAAAGTTTTATCTCTTTTTCTTCCTTTGTTTTTTTGTTCCTCCCTTTCGCTACCAATTCTATATATTTTATTATTCTATGAAAAGCATCTTTGTCCTTCTTCCCTCTCACTAAAAATAGGTCTGTCCTTCTTTCTCTTCTTCTTCTTCTTCTTCCTCCTCTAGTTCTTCTATAAATTTTAATATTTATTTACCATTTTGCAGAGGATTTTGAAGGTTAATTATGGCCATCAACAACCTTCTTGTCTTTATTTGTTGCATATTTATTTTGAGTTTTCAATTTTCTGAAGCAATTCAAGCTGGTTCTCTTGTCACCAATTTGCCTGGTTTCACTGGAAAGTTTCCATCCAAACACTACTCAGGGTGAGTTAATTTTTCGCAATTAATTTTTTATTTTTTATTTCATGAAGTTTTTGCATGGTGAATAGTTTTCTATTTTGTGTTTTTTTGTAGATATGTGAGTGTAGATGAGAAGAATCTTTTCTACTACTTCGTCGCTTCAGAAAGAAATCCCTCAAAGGATCCTGTTGTTCTTTGGCTCAATGGTGGCCCTGGTTGCTCCAGCTTTGATGGCTTTGTTTATGAACATGGTAGGCATCTTTTCATAATTAATATTTTTCCTGCAAACTTTGTTATACTATCAGTCTAGTAACTTTGTAGACAGTTCGTACTGTCTACAAAGTTACCAGACGTTCCAGACTGATATTATAACAAATTTGGCAGGAAAAATATTATTACAGAACTCTCACATAGGGTTAGAATTTGACCCTGTCGGTAAACAAGAATGTTGGAGGAAAACTAAGCTAGTGGGAGTGTAATTAATTTAGTATATGCATTAAAAAAAAAAAATAGTAATTCAAATCTAGAAACATTAACATAAGTAAATTCTATTATTTTTTAATAGGGTCCAATAACCCCCAATTTTCCCTTAATTGGTCAGTAAATATTGTTAATCACCTCTACTCTTCTAGTCGGATGGCAAGCTTTTTAGCCATTAGGGTTAGTTATATCCAGAGAGTCTTATCTTCAAGTCGCGGAAGAGACAATTATCGGATTTACGCAAAAAAAAAAAAATATTGTCAATTAATCAGTAAATATAATATGGGAGTATAGGATGAAAATATTGGTAAAATTAAGTTTGGAAGACAATAAGAAGTCAGGAGGGAGTGGAACCACAAATTAAAGTCAGGGCGAGACATAAAATTATGGGGAATTTTTTCTTTTTCTTTTTCTTTTTCTTTTGATTTATGATTGATATTTTTTGTAAGTCAATTATGTACTGCTGAGTGTACACGAAAAGGACAAAACCCTAATCTCTGTAACGCATTTGGTTGAGAGATTTGTTGTTCGAGAGAGAGGGTGACACTGACAGATCATGTCTTTTCATATTTGCCCCACACCCACTTCATGTGATGACCAAACCATCTTGAAGCATCTTTTAAGTTCTATGGTGTTGCTTTGTTTGCTTTCTAAACTACCATTTCTATACATAGATCTAGTTCCCAAACCCCAATTTCCCGGGTCGGGTCGGGTCGGGTCGGGTCGACAGTTCCCAAATAAAAGAGCCCACTCTTACTCCCAATAGGTGTTATTTTATCTAATTATATTTGTGATTAGTCTCACTTGGAAGTATTTAGACAATTATTCATAACTTAGATTTCTTTGAATGGATGAAGATGATTCCAGAATCTCACATAACTAGGTTAGAGGGGGTGATTAAACTATATACGTGAAAGAATCCCATATAAGGCATATTTAAATGTCTTGATTGGATATTTATTTATTAAAAAGAATATAAAGTTTCCAAGTTAATCATCCTCTCCATAATTTCTTTTGTTAAATCACAAGAACTTACCTCATAATGAGTGGGTATTGATCTCATTACCTTTTTGTTGTTTATTTTAAGACTTTAAAACTTAATAATCATCAAAAGCTAAAAGGGATTTTTTTCTATAGTTTTGGGTGATAATTATCAATGTAATTGATGAACCTTACCAAGAAAGAAAATGTTACATTTTCCAATGCAGGGCCATTCAATTTTGAAGAAGGAAATCCAAAAGGGAGCCTGCCCAAGTTGCATCTCAATCCATATAGCTGGACAAAGGTCAGTGTCAATTCTCTCTCATTACATAAATTTTTCTTGTGTTTTTTTGAGGACATATTAAATGGCCTTGAATTCACATGACAAGAACAATTCTTAGTACCAAATATCCCAAATAAATTTGTTGTGTTTTGTCCCCTTTTCGTGCTTGTTTTGTCTCATAATCTTTTCGGTCAGGCATATTTTATTTGTGAAACATGTTAATATATATTGTTGAGATGAAGATAATCGTTGTAGTACAACAAAACACTGAAAAACAGCTATATTCCTCTCTCATTCCGTGCCATGTTTTTATTGCTTGATTGTACGTATTACAATAGAATGTACAAAATTTTAATGAGATTGAATTCTCATATTACTTGTTCGATAACAGTATCGATGGTCAAATCTAACTCACCCGGTTTATTTGTATTGGATTAGTAACATATTACGACACACATTTAGTGATTGTATTTAATTTGTGTCTATTTTTATCGAAAAAAATATTGATATATATATTAGAAATTAAAAAAAAAAAATCGTCTGTTTGTAATCTTATACAGGTTTCAAGCATTATTTATTTGGATTCTCCAGCTGGGGTTGGACTGTCTTACTCCAAAAATGAAAGCAAATACATAACTGGAGACATACAAACTGCAGTTGATACACATGCTTTCCTCCTTAAGGTAATTAATTTAATTAGGATGAGTTTATGAATGCTTTAAGTAAGAATTTAACATGTTTTGATAAAAGCATTTCCTGCATGTAAAACATTTTAATTCATAGAACTTCTAGAAATTGAAGTCCAAATATTTTTCAAACTTCAAGAAAAGATTTTGTCCAATGTTTTAAAACCCAACCTGGGGTGAAACCTAGCAAAGTTGCCTGGTCTCAGGTTGACCGGTTTAACCAGTTTGACCAGCGGTCTAACCGGTTGATAAAAACTTTTAAAATTCAGCAAATACACCCCTAAAAATTACGTTACATCCCTATAGGTTTAAAATTTAGCAAACACACCCCAAATACAAATCGGTTGGCGATTGGTTAGGGGCGACGACACCCTAGATGCAACCCTAATCGTCCCTTGAGCCCATTCCCCTTAAAATATACCCAAGATCTAGCCGAAATAGGTTCGATTTCGGCCAAATCTCACCGACGTCGGCGTCGGCATTCCAAGCCAGATCTCATCGACGCCAGCGTCGACAACTGTCCCCATCACCTAGAAATTACTTCCCTCTTCCTCCCGACCAAAACCCATCTCACCCCACCCCCGTTAACCTCGCCAATCACCGGCAAAAACCATTTGTTTTTGCTGCCAGTTTTGTTCGATTTTCGGTCGATTTACTCACTGAAAATCAACGTCATCACCACCATTGCATTCACCGGCAGTTTCTCTTCAAAAGCCCCAACATCCCGGCTGACAATTGTTCGCCGATCATCCTCTGAAATCTTAGGGTTTTGGGTGAATAGGAAAAATATAAACCCAGCCCGTTGAAGGTTCCGAGTCTCGGTTCAACCAGTTAAACCGGCCGGGTCAGGCCAGGTTTTAAAACAATGATTTTGTCCACTTCAACTCTTCTTTCTTATTAAAAAATAAACTTGATATTAAAAAATTAAAAAAAGAACCTTGAGAAAATATAGAGGCAGAGAGATTAATCATGTTTAATGGTGGGTAACATTATCCTTAATGTGTATCATGGGATCGAAGCTCAAGTATTGACTTTGTTAAGAAGAGTTTAGTTATGTTATTGCAGGGTAACATTACCCTTATGTTTTTTTTTTTTTTTTCATCGGGGTGTCTCCATTAGCTTGCGCGCACCTCAACTAATCTCTTAGGACCTTGGAACTGCCGGCCGAGTAAGAGCCTTAATGAACACCCTTATTAGTGTTTGGGGCGACTCGAACTCAGGAACTCATGAAATCTCCTTTTACTCTTTTATTATTAAGCCACCCAATGGTGGTTAAAGTTTAGTTATGTTATTGCAAGGTAACGTTACCCTCCATCTGAACCAATTGTGGTTCAAGGATTATCCTGAATTAAAACATATGAAACTTATGTCTAAGAAAGTTTAATCATAAGATGTGAAATAGAACAACAATCAATTATTTATTTATTATTTTTTTTTTTTGAGAAAGAAAATATTATCTGAAATTTCTTTTGAAATGTCATAAGCAAATTTAATATATAAGTTAAAAGATGTGAGCTTGTTGAATTGAAAGTTTAATTAATAAGAAATTTCTTGTTTTTGAAATTAGTGGTTTAAGCTATACCCTGAGTTTCTCAACAACCCATTTTATATCTCTGGAGAGTCTTATGCTGGTATTTATGTACCTACTCTTGCTTCTCAACTAGTCAAAGGTAAAGAATTTATTAAATTAATTAATAATTACATTAATTTTTATCTTGACCCTCAATTTATTTATAGATTAATTTCTCCTAATTCTTTTCCAGGAATAAAAGCTGGCGACAAACCTAGAATCAACTTCGAAGTATGGAGTGCTTGAATAAGAAAAATTCCTCTATAGTTAACTTATAGTGTCGTTACAATAACGAGTTTATCTTTGTAGGGTTACTTGGTGGGAAATGGAGTAACAGATAGAATGTTTGACGGAAATGCTCTTATTCCCTTTGCCCATGGAATGGGACTTATCTCAGATGATCTTTTTGAGGTAGGAGAATTTGAACTCTTTGTTTAACATTATTTTTAGAAGTTGAATAACATTATTTTTATTCAAACAAGGCAATGCTTGAAATAGAAATTAATTAATGTTACAGGAAGTTGAAGGTGCTTGTAGAGGAACCTACTATGATTATGAATCCAATGATGGTTGCATGAGGAGTATGCTAAAAGTTGACGAGGTGACTTAGTTTTTTCTTGACTCAATTAAAATTTGATTCCTTGATTATATCCTAAACAATCTTCTTCAACAAACCTTAATTTTCTGATTAATTTTGGCTATATTGTTTAGGCTCTAACTGGACTAAATATTTACAACATTCTTCAACCTTGCTTCCATGAACCTCTATCACAACAAGATAGCAATGCAAATTCAAGCTTGCCGGCGAGCTTCCAGCAGCTAGGGGCCACTGAGAGGCCTCTCAAAGTGAGAAAAAGAATGTTTGGGCGAGCTTGGCCTCTCTGGTCTACTGTAAAAGATGGCATTGTCACATTGTGGCCTCAACTTATTGAAGGAGATGAACATCGCCATATTGCATGTGTTGTAAGTTACTCAAACCATTTTTTATTTGTTCCTTATATGAACATCGATTTTTTTTTTTTAAAACATAATCCTTGTTTATTGATGTTGATAATTTACGATTTGCTATAAATGCTAAAAAACAAAATTTAATTCAAATTTTCTTACATAAAAAACTACAAAATTTTGTTATTTAACATTTATTGACATTGATAAATAGAAGTATGGATTTAAAAAATTCTGACATCCATGGTAAGTAATTAGCAATTTACCAGCTTTTTTTTTTTTTTTGGTGACCGGAGGTAGCCGAACTAGCTTGTATGCATCTCGACTAATCTCCAGGCCCGTAAAGTTAACAATCGGGTCTCCAATGACCACCCCTATTAGTAACCGAGAGGAATAAAAGTCAAAATCTCTTGAGTAATATACCTAAAAGTTCATATCTCCTTGCCCAAGCTGTCAGACACTCAGAGGTGGTCGTGAAGCATTAACTTTACTTATGAATATATTTTGTATTTTGCAGGATGATGAAGTTGCAAGTGTATGGCTAAACAACGAAGCAGTTAGAAAAGCTCTTCATGCAGATCCAGTAAACATATAAATCTTCAGCTTCAATTAATTTCTAATTATTTCCAGGATTCAACATTAATCTCTTTTTAATTTTTTTTTTGTTCATTAATGTATCCAATATTATAATTCAATTGATGCTAATAAATTTTAATTAATGGCAGGTTGATGTAGCAGGCAGTTGGGAATTATGTACAGATAGAATTACTTATCATAATCAACTTGGAAGTATGATTCCTTACCATAAATCTCTAACTTCTCAGGGATATCGAGCACTTATATTCAGGTAAATTAATATATTAATTGAACTTTTCAAATATTTTCCAAAATATCATTTCATTTCATTGTGTTAGGTAACGTTTGCATTCTTAAGATTATAGCTATTAATTTTCTTTTTCTTACAATAAAATGATTTTTTTAGGCCAGAAATTGAGCAAAATGTAAATATATCCCAACTAACTTAATGAGATAATATATCACTTTGGATTAAATTTTCATATACAGATCACTTGGGATAAATTATATAAGGGTTTATAAGTGTTATTCCTGAGGTTTGGCTATTATTGTCACTCCATGATGGCTTTTTTTTTTTTTTTTTTATTTAAATGTATCGAAATTAAAGAAGCAAAAAATATATTTTAAATAAACCGTTAGTATTTTTGGTCAAACAATTGATCATTTTGATACTATGACAGTTCTTGTAAAAATGATCAATTGTTTGATCAAAATTGTTAATCATTTATTCAAAATGTTTTTCCTACACTTCGTATGATTATATATAATTTGATCAAACCTTTATTTGTGGTTGTTAGCATTAGTTTCCCTAAATTGGAAGGTAAAACATTTTTGCACTAAACCTCAAAGGTGGCAAATAGTTAACTCATTGCATAAATATGTAGGCTAAAGTCAATATTGAGTCACAATTCTTCAAAAATATCTTTTAGCGGCTATATGTACAACCAACCAATTATGGAGTGTGTAAACACGATATTTCTTGCAAATTTTTTTTAACTGTTCTTCACTGTTTACTTTTTATGGTGGTTTATATCATGGTTCGGATAAACCCCCATCCGCTATACAAGTCTACCAGATCTTATACAAAATCAAATAAATTTCAAAAAAATTTCTCAAAAAATAGATTATGCCTAATGGAAAAAAAAAAAATTATCTTTAATTTTTCAACAATATCAAATAGATGTGCTTTTACTAATTCCTAATCACTTCTCTTGCAGTGGAGACCATGATATGTGTGTACCATTTACTGGGAGCCAAGCATGGACTAGGTCCCTTGGATATAAGAAAATTGGTGGATGGAGATCATGGATATCCAAAGGCCAAATTGCAGGGTGAGTTAATTTACACTTAATTTGTACATGAATTTTTTTCATCCAATTTGTAGGGCTGCTAAAAATTAATTATGTGAATTAAACAAATTAATATCCTCTTTGCAGGTACTTGCAAAGTTATGACCATAACCTCACCTTTCTCACGGTCAAGGTATCAATTTCAAGATTAAGAATTTAAAATTATTTCTGTTTCAATTTTGGTAAATATAAAATGTTTTTATAGATAATTATTATTAGGAACATTCACTCATGGTGTATTAAAAAAAAAATCCTATATATAATTGAGGACATATATAACATGTGTCTTAGAACACATGTTAAAAAAGTTTATTGCGTTAAAAAAACTTGAAAAGTTTTAGAAACGTGATTCTATATATAGTTATTCTCTCTTATGGACGTTTTTATTTTTTATTTTTAAATAAAAGACCAACATTTTGCATTGACAACGTAAAGAAACCACTAAAGGGAAAAAAATTGGTTTTGTTGATGCGTGATTTTGACACTAATAACCTTGCATGTGCAAAATGCTAAGCAAGACCTATAAATTACACATGATTAATTGATTTTAGAGTTTAGACAAAGTTAAACAAAGCTATTGAATGCAAAGACCAAATAATAAATAAGATAGAGGATTTTTATAGTGATTTGAATGCTTAAAGCGATTCTGTGAGTGTTACAAGAGGTCGCGTATAGTGAATAGTGAATAGATGTACAATAACTGAGTATTCAGAGAGAATATCGAGTTAGTCTCTTTCTCGCAGGTTGTCTTTGCTATTGGTTGTTATGAAAGTAAAGATCTTGAAAATGAGACAGGGAGTCCTCTATTTATAGTAGCTAAATTCAAGGTAATGATTAATTACAAGTATGCAAGTGGGTAGGTGTCGTGCAAGTCCTTCCTTGCCTTCCATTGGCTGATAACTTTAGAAATATCCTTAAATTAATTGGGGCTTGGACAGGCGTGTAGTCCCCATTCTCTTATAGACAAAACCTGAACCTGCTTAGTTGATGACAATTGTATCCTTTCTATCTTGGGGCGACGTGGTAGCTCCTGGATGGTGCAAAGTCTTCTTGAACTTTGATTGGTGCTTATTGATGTAAGCTTACACCAGCCTTGATTTTTTAGGCATAACGGAAGCTCCCTAGTTCTTAAGGTTCAAGAATTGGACCTTGAGAACTTCATGATTATGTCGCGACCTGACTTGTCTTAAGAAGTGCTTACTCGAGCTAAAAGCTGAATATAGTCACATCGCTGCAGACGACTTGAAGTTGGCTACTTGATCTGACTAGTGAACTAAGTGTAGGTTGTAATCTAGATGTTAAGAGTTACACAAGCGACCTGATTTGATCGTTTACAAAGGCTCACAACCTAATCATGATCTTGTGTAGTGCTATCAAAATGTGTTTCAAACTCTATCTATCATTTATGACCTGAAAACACTTAAAAACTGAAATTCATCTTGTTCGGTGTCCAAGTCAAACATGTTGAATAAATGTCTTATTTGGAACAACCCTTTTAGATGTTATCTGTTGCGCTTGACAGTTGACTATTTGGGTTCCCAATCAGGCTGATAAGTGAACTCCGAAATAAAGTTAGCAACAACTTGCCATTTGATTGCTACTTTCGGTCTATAATATAGATCAAACTGACTTAGTTCCATAACCCACTTGAGTAACTTACCCGAAGCCTCTGGCTTTTGAAGGACCTGCTTGAGTGTATAATTGGTCAATATATGGATGGTGCGGGCATGGAAGTAAGGTTGTAACTTCCTAGAAGCGATCAGCAAGGCAAAAGTTAATTGTTCCATTTGTAGATATCGTGTCTCTGCGTCTAGTAGTTGCTTGCTCATATAATACATTGGCCATTGAATTTTGCCCTCTTCTCGAATGAGAGCTGTACTAACTGCATACTGAGAGACGAACAGGTAGAGAAAAAGAATTTTCTTAGGAAGAGACTTGGATAGAAGAGTTGGTTTTTCGAGATGCTCTTTTATGCTCTGGAAGGCTTGCTCACACCCTGGAGTCCATTCAAATCTCTTGCTGGCTTTGAGTATGTTAAAAAACAGCGAACAACGATCTATTGTTCTTGATATGAAGTGACTAAGAGCCTGTATTCTCCTATTCAAGCTTTGGACTTGTCTTCAATTGGAGGGACTTTTTATGTCTAAAAGAGCTTGAATCTTTTCGGGTTGACTTCAATTTCCTAATGGTTAACCATATACTCTAGGAATTTTCCTGAAGATACTTCGAATAAACACTTAAGAGGATTAAGTTTCATTCTGTGTCTATGGAGTATATCGAACATTTCTACAAGGTTAGCTATGTGATTTGAAGTGACATACGACTTGACCAACATGTCGTCAACATAGACCTCTATTAGTTTCTAGATTTGCTCAAAAAACGTATGATTCATCAAATACTGGTAGTTCATTTCAGCGTTCTTCAGACTGAAAAGCATGACTTTATAATAGTACAGGCCTCAATCTGTGATAAACGAGGTTTGCTCCTCATTGGGCGTGTACATTGGGATCTGATTATACCTCGAGTTGGCATCTATGAAGCTTAACAGCTCGTGCCCAAAAGTGGTATCAACGAGCTGATCGATTCTGGGCAAAGGGAAACTATCCTTCAGACAAGCTTTGTTCAGTCCATGAAATCAACACAAATCCACCATTTGCTGTTGGGTTTCTTCACTAAAATAAGATTGGCAACCCAACTCGGGTAATGAGTCTCCCGAATGAATCCGATTGAGAGGAGCTTATCCACTCAACCTTAAGAGCAGCATAACCCTCTGGGTCCATGGCTTTTCTCTTCAAGCGAACTGGTTTGACTTCACTGTTGATGTTAAGTGCATGACATATAATATCTGGACTGATCCCGACCATGTTAGCATGAGTCCATGCAAAACATCTATATTCTATCTAAGGAATCTTGTTAAATCAGTAGCGAGATGAGGGCTAAGATTGTTTCCGATTCTACACACACGAATCAGCTCATTCTAGTCGCCTGATACCTCAGATAAAGTCTCAATAGGCCCACTGTGGGAATACTCCTCCTAAACACAAGGATCAATGTTGTTTTCCATTGGACTAGGCTGTGGTTTGATCCTGTTAATTGTCATTGCTTGCTCGAGAATGCCCACTGGCTTCCCTTTCCCTTTGCATGCCATCTGCACTACTCTTATATTGTAGTCGCGGGATTCACTCTGAGACCCCTTGACTTCCCAGAGTGGAAAATTTCATCTTCAGATGATAGATAAAGGTGACAACTTTAAAGTTCTGCAATAGAGGTCGTCCCAATATGTCATTAAAAGCGAACAGACAGTCTCTCACCCAAAGTGATAGGAAGTGCAATTGTTCCCTTGGGAATCAGATGATCCCTAGTAAAGCCATAAAGGGGGATAAAGACAAGCTTCAAATCTGTCTCCTCTAATTGTATTTCCTCAAATGCTCGCTGAAACAGGATGTCCATGGCGCTTCCATTATCCACCAACATTCTGTGGACTTTGTATCTTCTTATCTTCGCCACAATAACAAATGCATCTTCATGAGGGTGATGCAATCATATCGCGTCTTTCCTAGAAAAGATAATCTCATTTTCTCTGCACACCTTAGCTGGTCGTGGCATTATGTTTAACACACCCACAGGCTCATGACGAGCTTCTCGAGCATATTTCTCCTGAGCACCTTGAGAATTTCCCACGATATGTGGTCCCCCAAAGATAGTCCCCGCCAAATGGTGACCCTTGCAACCACGACGCTTACTTCTGTTGCCCTCTTAATCCTTCTCCCTGGGCCATCAACATATTCCTTGAAGTGCTCATTTTGAATGAGGTCTTCAATAGCCTGCTTAAGAGCTCGACATTCATCGATATGGTGCCCATTATCCCAATGATAATGACAAAATTTCTTGATGTTTCTCTTATAAGGGGGATTTTTCATGGGCTTTGGCTCTCCGAGCAGATTAGCTTTTTTAGATTTATCTAGAATAGTTGATATCGATGCATTTAATGGAGTAAATAAATTTGTGTCGCGATCACAAGAGGTTGTTAAAGTGAGTGAGGGAAATATCATCCTCAGATTGTAATTTCTTCTAAAGGTCGGTTTGCGGGCGAACTCCAGCTATAATGAGAGTTCGAACTGAATCTTCGGGTGTATTAGCCACCTTATCCAGTTTCTTGTGGAACCTGTCAATGTAGGATTGGAGAGACTCATTTCTCTCCTATGTATGTTTCTAAGATAGCTCAACGACATTGAGAACTTTCGATTGGCTTGGAAGTGTCTCAAAAATAATGAGCTCATCTACTGCCACGAGTTGATAGACCCTAGTGGAAGCGATCTGAACCAATGTTTAGCATGGGTAGTCAGAGTCACTATTAAGGAGCGACATTTTCCCAAGTTGGAAACTTGGTGAAGCTCTATGAGATCGTTAAACTCACAAAGATGATCCTACGGATCAAAATTCCCATCGAATGCTCTCATGTCAGACATTCTAAATCTTAATAGGAGAGGAGTAGTTAGAACTACTAGAGAAAAGGGAGATGCCTCAACAACCTACCCTCGCTCATTCTACTGAGCTTTAAGTTGATCCAGAGCTAGTTGTAACTCCTCAATCTGAGGAAGTGGAGCCACATGGGGATCACTTTCTGCAACGTTGGTACGTTTCCCACAATTGCGATTAAGGAATGACCGTAGATCAGACCATTCCCTGTGTTGGCTAGAGCCTTCGACATACCTTGACACATGTTGGCTAGAGCTATATGAAGACACTGAATGGCTTTGGGAGTTATCCCAACCTTTGTGGTGGTTAGAACCAACCCACGGACACTAGGTATTTCCTTTGTGGTGATGGTAGAAACCATCATTCTGGCGATGGTGGGAATCTCCTTGTTGAGCACTCTTGTGGGGGTGCCCATGCGATATGGCATGAGACGGCTCACGATGTGACATACCGCCAAGTTGCAAAGATATAGGTACTCTACCTGTTTCATGAGAGGTATTTACTAACCCTTTAGAGCCTTTTGGCCCATTATCAGTCACATGTTTTCCCTTATTCTTATGCGCTGCAGTGTGTGTGGTATGAGCTTTCACCCGTTTCCACACTTTAACATAACCTACAGGCATTTTTTGAGGCGGCACCGCCTAATCAGAATCAGGCGGCATGACCTAATCCAAACGATCTAAACTTCAGTTAACCATTTGGAGGGTGTTGTTGAACCTTTCTAGATATTATAGCCAGATCAAGCTGAAAGGTCGAGGAGGTTCCTACTGTAGTACTTTGGGGAATTGGGAGTATTTTGGGAGAAGTAACATCCTGTACTTAGGGGATCTCCTCGTTATTGGTATTGGTGTGCTCAGTTTCAAGACCTCGAAACATTTGTAGAGCTGATGGAAATGAGCCCTCCTTCTAATGTCAAACTGTTGATGCATGATTTTGACACCAACGACCTCGCACGTGCAAAGTGTTGATTTTGGAGTTAGGACAAGGTTAAACAAAGCTATTGAATGCAAAGACCAAATAATAAATAAGACGGAGGATTTTTATAGTGGTTTGGATGCTTAAAGCGATTCCTACGTCCACTATTTCTTTTATATAAGTGAGTGTTACAAGGGGTTACTTATAGCGAACAACGAGTAGAGGTACAATAACTGAGAGTATTCAAAGAGAATATCAAGTCAGTCTCTTTCTTGCAAGTTGTCTTTGCTATTGATTGTTATGAAAGTAAAGATCCTAAAAATGAGATGGGGAGTCCTCTATTTATAGTGGCTAAATTCAAGGTAATGATTACGAGTCTGCAAGTGGATAGGTGCCATGCAAGTCTTTCCTTACCTCCCATTGGTTGATAACTTAGGAAATATCCTCAAATTATCTAGGGCTTGGACAGGTTTGCAGCCCCCATTCACTTATAGACAAAACCTAAACCTGCTAAGTTGATACCAGCCGTATCCTTTTTGTCTTAGGGCGATGTGGTAGCTCCTAGACGACGCAAAGTCTTCATGAACTCTGATTGGTGCTTGCTGATGTAAGCTTACGTTAGCCTTGATTTTTTAGGCATAACATGCTTAAACTTCTTAAACGAAAAATTTGGTTGAACTTTTGTCCTTTAGTTCATTTCCTGTATCAAAAATACTAGGCCATATTTCAAAAAAAAAAAAAAAAAAAAAAAAGGATTTCTACACCAAAAAGTTTTCATATTTTAGTTAGTCTTGTTATATTTAAAATTTGAACCTCAATTTACGTCAACAAGAGTTAACTCTCACGCAAAATTTTCCATTAAATGACCAAAAAACTTGCTTGCAAAGTTGATTTGTGTATACATGAAGTAATTCATACTAGCATTTTAGGTTCACAGCTAAGAATTTTTAATATACATAATGCTCAAATCATCAAATGAAAACTTTTGCATTTTATTTATATGTTCTTGGAGCAGACATTAATTCTGAATTTAGTTCTCACAATAATTACAATGTCAATTTTGCAGGGAGCAGGGCATACAGTCCCTGAGTACAAGCCACAAGAGGCTTTGGACTTCTACAGCCGCTGGTTGGATGGACATCGAATTTAACAGCAGACTTCTTATTTTCCATCTTCGGACATCGAATTTAACAGCAGACTTCTTATTTTCCATCTTCAGATTATGAAAGAAAAACTAGATTTACTTTAAAACATATTATAAGATCCTTAAAAGGTGAAGTAAATTCAGATTTTGAAAGGATCGAAATGAGGATCTGATCGAATTCAGACTATTTGTGTGCAAAATTCATGGAAATGGACTTGATTCTAGGCAAAAAAAAAAAAAAAAAAAAAAATGTATTATTGTTTTGGAATTTATTTTATTTTTTGAATGAATGTATTGTTGTTTGGGTAAATTCTATTTAATTGCGTAGTTATGCAATTTGGATAATCCTTTTGTACTATTTCAAATAAAACCAATTGCCATTTGATTAATTCACATATTTCTTTTACTTTATTCAATCTTCAATTAAGATCCTGATTATGTCAAAATCATTGTGGGATCAAAACTTACCTCCTTGAATCGATTGATAAGCACATATCATTTTAATAAGCATATAATTTTCTAATCTTTAAGGTCCTATCAATTCCAATAGTAAATATTTATTTATTTTGCATCAGAAAATAATTAACGGTGCTAAATAATAACATAATTTTCTATCACTTTCCAGGGTTGTAAAGCACAGACAACTTTTGCATCAATTTAACGTCAACAGTAAAAGCTAAATTTGCGACGATTAAATTGAGCTGAAAGCAACAATAGCTGTTTGATTTTGCCAATTATTCAACTTTAATTTTGTTCCAATTACAGGGTACAATTAAGCGGCTGTTGTAAAATATGTAAATCCACCGCTTTAACTTTAAGGTGGTGAATGGAGGAAGGGGCGTTGGCTATAAAAAGACCCCCTCCCCTTCATTTTTATTATTACAATGAAGTGAAAAGAAAAGAAGATTTACAACCCTCCTTTCGACTTTGCTTTCTTAAACATTTTGTCTTCCTTAATTTATTACACTTATACCACTAAGATTATAAGACATTATCAGCACGAAGAGCCTATCAAGTGTAACGGTGCATGCCTACTGAAAGATGGACTTCGAAATTGAGACATTGATATCCAGTAATAGTGGAGACATTTGTATAGTAGACAGTGCAACAACGCACACCATCATTCATGATAGAAAATACTTCTCAGGTTTGTCCTTTACTAAGATTAAAATAAATACCATATCAGGATCTACAAACATAATTGAGGGCTCCAGAAGAGCAACACTTGTGTTACCAAGGAGAATTAAATTAAGTATCCATGAGATATTCTAGCAAATCCAGAAGAAATTTGCTTAGTTTCAAAGATATACGATGTAATGGATACCACATTGAAACTTTAAGTGAAAAAGATGGAGAGTTTCTATGCATCACTAATAATATTTCATGCCAGAAGCATGTACTGGAGAAATTCTTTGTTTTCTCATCAGGATTATATTACACATTCCTGAAGAATGTTGAAGTTTATGTAGTTATGAACCAAAAGTTCACTGATATTGAACTTTTTAAAATTTGGCATGATCGTCTTGGTCACCCAAGATCTACTATGATGCGTAAGATCATAGAAAACTCACATGGGCACTCATTAAAGAACTTGAAGATTTTGTCACCTAATGATAGTGCTTGTATTGCTTGCTGACAAGGAAAATTGGCACTTAAGCCATCCATCACTAAAGTTGGTGTAGAATCCCCATTATTTTTACAAAGAATTCAAGGGGATATATGTGGACTTATTCATCCACCAAGTGGACCTTTCCGCTACTTTATGGTACTGATTCACGCATCAGCACGATGGTCACATGTTTGTTTACTATCAACCCGTAATGTTGCCTTTGCTAGATTGTTGGCTCAAATTATCAAATTGTGAGCACGCTTTTCAGATTGCCCAATTAAAGCAATCCGTATGGACAATGCTAGTGAGTTTACCTCAAAGACATTTGATGACTATTGTACAACAACGGGAATTGATGTTGAGCACCCAATATCACATGAACATACCTAGAATGGTATGACAGAGTCATTTATAAAGCGTATTCAATTAATTGCAAGAACTTTGGTATTACGTATGCAATTATCGACTTCTACCTAGGCTCATGTTGTTTTACATACTGCAGTGTTAATTCACCTAAGACCCACTGCATATCGTCAATACTCTCTAATACAGCTTGTATTTGGACATCAGCCTAATATATCTGATCATTTAAGCACTTTTGGTTGCACTATGCAAGTTCCAATTGCACCCCCTCAACGCACCAAAATGGGACCCCAACATCGTTTGGGAATACATGTTCGCTATGACTCACCATCTATCATCAGATATCTTGAGCCCTTGATAGGTGACCTGTGTACCGCATGTTTCACAGATTGCCATTTTGATGAGACAACATTCCCATCTTTAGGGAACAAGGTAAAGCCTCCTAAAGTAAGGCCTGAACTTTCCTGGAAAGTGAATTTTATGTCTAATTTTGATCCTTGCACATCTCAATCTAAAATTGAAGTGCAAAGAATAACACATTTGGAAAATATTGCCAACCAAATGCCTGATGTAGTTACAGATGCAACAAAGATAACGAGATCATACATTCCTACTGTCAGTACACCAACAAGGATTGATGTTACCAATGAACAATCCATGCGGGTAGCAATTGATTCATCTGTTACACACTAGAGGCGTGGTAGGCCAGTTGGTAGGGGTGTTCGATTCTAGGTATCTTGCATTTTTTGAAGGAACCAGAACTGAAATCGGAACTGACAGTTCCTTGAAATTTGGAATTAGAATTGGAACCGATGGTTCTGGAAGTTGGGTACCCAGAACTGAAACCTATAATAATGGTTTCGATTCTGGTTCTAGGTACCCTATAAAATTATAATTACCCCGCCAAAATTTTTTTAAAATGGAAAAAAACCCTTAAAAGCTTACAAATACCCCCTCACCTGACACTTGTTAACAAAAATAAAATTACAAATTACAAACCCCATTGCTTTGTAAAGGTAGATTCTCAAAAGTCAAACCAACTTACTTTAAATATTATGAAATATAAATATAAATGTATTCACATTACTTTTTCTACAAAAGCTTTTATCAACCCCCTACTCTTTAATTTTATTTTATATTAGTTTTGGTTCCTGGTTTCAATTATAGTTCTAATTCCTAACTGTAGCAACCAAAATGGGAACTGAAACCGCACAATGACGGTTCCAAAAATTTGGAACCAAAACCTACCCGTTGCCGGCCGGTTTCGGGTAGGAACCGGAACCAAACCCTAGGTACCCGCCGATTCTGGTTCCAATCGATTCTTTTGAACATTCCTACCTGTTGGAGCCAAGGATACTGTTCCTAGGAAACAAAAGGCACATAATCAAATAGGCGTCAATATTGACAATATTGAAACAATTGATGATTCCACACCTTCTAAACCAACTCCAAAAGAGTTAACAGTCCCTAAACGAACATAAACCCCTAAAGAGGAACAAATCCTTGAAGGAATGCAAGAACATAAAAATGAAGAAATTTCTATAAACTATGCTCATAGTACAGAAATGTGGAATCGTGAAACAACTATTTTTGATAACATATTTTCATACGCAGTAGCTACTGAAATTATGAATGATGAGTTTGAACCACATTCTATTGATGAATGTTGAAAGAGACATAATTGGCCGAAATGGGAAGAGGCAATTCAAGCAAAATTAACCTCCTCAGCTAAACATAATGTATTTGGACCTGCAATCCAAACACCTAAAAACATGAAACCCTGTAGGGCACAAGTGAGTATTCATAAGGAAACGAAATGAGAAAAATGAGATTGCTAGGTATAAGGCCAGACTAGTGGCTCAAGGTTTCCTATAGAGACCCGGAATTGACTTTGATGAGACGTATTCACCAGTGATGGATGCTATCACATTTCAATATTTGATTAGTTTATCAATCTTAGAAAGACTCGATATGCGTCTCATGGACGTTGTCACTACGGATTTGTATGGTACACTGGTTATTGATATCTATATGAAAATCCCTCAAGGATTCAAAGTGTCAGAAGCAAATAAAAAGAACATGCATTCAATAAAATTGCAAAGATCATTATATGGGTTGAAACAATCAGGACGAATATGGTATAATCGTTTAAGTGAATATTTGATGAAGGAAGGAACATCAATGATCATGTATGCACATGTGTCTTTATAAAAAGGTCAGAATCAAGATTTGCAATTGTGGCAATATATGTCGATGACATGAACTTAATAGGACTCCTGAAAAGGTCATGAAGTTGCGGAGTTTTAAAAAGAGAATTTGAAATGAAGGATCTCGACAAAATATTGTCTCGGCCTACAGATCGAACATTGTTCAAATGGAGTTTTTCTCCATCAATCAAATTATACTGAAAAGATCCTAAAGCTATTTAATATGGATAAATCTCACTCCTTGAGTATCCTAATGGTTGTTCGGTCTCTTGATCGTAAAAAGGATCCATTTCATCCTAAAAAAGACGACAAAAAGATACTTGGTCCTGAAGTACCATATCTAAAGGCAATAGGTGCATTATTATATTTGGCACAATGTACGAGACTAGACATAACATTTGCAGTGAATCTGTTGGCAAGATTTAGCTCTACACCAACTCACTGACATTGGAATGAACATGTCTTTTGTTACCTCAGTGGAACAAAAGATTTGAGATTATTTTATCAAGGAAATTTGTTAATGATCCTAAATTAGTTGGCTATATAGATGCTGCGTACCTTTCTGATCCTCAGAAAGCCTGCTCGCAGATGGGATATGTTTTCACTTATAATGGTACTACAATATCATGGCGTTCTACAAAATAGACATTGGTTGCTACTTCCTCCAACCACTTCGAGATTCTTGCACTTCATGAAGCCAGCCGAGAATGCATATGGTTAAGATCTGTCATTCATCGTATTGAAAGTACAAGCAAATTGCCACATACCTCAGATGCTCCCACAATTATAAATGAAGACAATGCAGCATGTGTTGCTCAAGTCAGGGGAGGATATATCAAAGGAGACAAAACCAAGCATATTTCATCGAAATTCTTTTACACTCACGAACTCTAACAAAATCGTGAGATTGATGTCAAACAAATACGCTCTAATGATAATCTTGCAGTTTATTCACTAAGGCTTTACTGGTATCAGTATTTGAAAAATTACTGTATAACATCAGTATACAACAGCTTAATAAGTTACTAAATTAATACTACCATTATGAGGGGGAGCATTGATCAAGTGAAG